AAAATTTGCATATAAATGGAAAGAATGTATACAAATTTTATCCTTACCTCAACCACATGCTACTCTGGATCATAAGGAATAGTGGGAAACTATGGTGGTTTTCATGCAAATGAAATGCAAATGACCATTTTATTATTTTACAACCCTGACAGCCTCACTCAAAAGGTCTTTCAAACAAAAAAGATTTTCCAGTTTGGATCTTAACCTAAAAACACTAAATCCTTTTCAGGGACTAATAATGTAGATTTTATATAATTTGAAATYTACCTATCTATTGCATCGGTTGAGTCATAGTTTCCATCGTCAACTAGAGAGGAGAGTATCCTTTTGAAATATCTCTCCATCCTTTCTATGAGTTCCCTCCACCACCTTTCAATCTTAATTTGAGTTGAAGGCCCATACAACACACATTCACTGACATCCTCAAAATCAGCTTGCTTATCATGGAGAAACATGTACATCACAGCCATGACGTCTGTCTCAGTTCCTCTGTCAATTCTTATATGCTTGGGGAGTACTGAAAAATATATTTCAATGGCTAATGAGTTTAAACAAACATTGGTTGTTATGTGCCACATGAGAAAGGCCAAATATTGACTTATAAGTTGACAAAAGGTAGTTCACTTGATAAAGTGAAGTTGTATATTAGCATATGGCGCCGGTTGGCTGACTTTGCTGAGCTCTTACTTATGTTTTAGTTTTTTCCGTTTTTACATCGTTTTATATTGTCAAACCTCAGCTAGTTGGATTCTAACAAGTTTCTGTTTTGATACCATGGGATATTCAAGGAATCAACTGCTTGATCTGCGATTTTGGTGGAAAACTCCGTCACAGAGTGATTTTCAAATTTCCCGCCATTGTTCTGAGAATGAAGTTAAACCTGTGCCTAAACCAGTCTGGAACTCTTTAAAACAGGCTGAAATTTTGAAGCGTTTCAGGGGAGGTCGTGGTGGACGACCTAAAGTTAATTCAACATCAGAGAGGACAGTGGTTTCCTCAAATTTTGAATGTTTTGATCATTCAAACTCTCAACAGATAGCCACTGAACCAGAAGAAAGGAATGCAAACAACCTAATTGACCCTCAACCTTCTATTTCCCAAGCGGCCGCTGTTGCTACTAATAAATTCACTAATTTTTGTTTATGGAATGCTCAGTCAATTAAGAACAAAACTGCTTCTTTTGCTGACTATCTATGTAAGAAAAAAATTGACTTGGCTGCACTTACGGAAACTTGGTTTAAAGTGCAAGTAAACCAATTTTTTTAATGTTTTTGATCAAAAGTTGAACCATCTAGAAATACGAATTTCAAAATTTTTTTATGATATTCCTATTTTTTCAATTTTTTCGAGCCATTCAAAGTGCTGCTATGATTTTTATGCCGAGCGCCGGAGGAGGACTGGTGCCGATTGAGCGAGTGACGTAGCGGCAGTAACGCGTCCTCCGTTGTTATAAGCAATTTGTTGTTGTGAAGGCTTGTTTTTACTCCCGACTACGGAAATTTAACTGTTAAAATGTCATCCTCGGAGTCTAATTCTTATCTAAGCTCCACATCTGATAATGACTCAGAATACAACTATATTCCGGGCATTTATTATCGCGATATTGAGACAGAAAAGGACGAAGCAACTGATAGCGAACTCGAGAGTGATATGGAAGATTTGAATGGCGATCGCGCATACACGGACGAGCCTTTGGCCGATGAAGAATGGCTGGAGGAATACGAAATAAAGCAAGCTGAGAAAAAGAAGCGTTTAGAAGACTTGAAAGATAGGTTGTCAGGCAAGGAAAATCTGAGTAACTGCTAAGTTCGCBAAGGCATTATTTGAACCCTCGTCTTTACTAGGATCAAAGACCAATGTTATAGCTAAATGTGAGAATTTTCTAACTAAGCTTAGTACAAACTCGATTGRTTCTCTTGCTTATAAACATTTATTTGGTTACCTATAGGTGCTGTTGCGGAAGATGCTCGATAGAGCTTTTGCAAAACTCAAACGAGTGCTATTGTTGTCAAGACATCGAGCAGTGTTGCGATGCCTTGACAGATGAACTCGTACTTCGAGAATTCAGCGTCCCGCCATACTGCATCACACTTCACCCAGCTTTCGAACCAGTTTGCCTTAACCCATGGTCACTAAGATTGTCAGCTGCAAAGTATAGAACTATCGATAAAAAGGCGTATCGACAAACTGGATCAGAGGAAAAGTAAGTCAATACATTATTCAAATCTTGATGAAACCCTTCCGTTTTTATGAGAAGATATCATGATAATAATAACCTTTATTATATATCCATCTTAAAATCTAAAAACATGTTTCTAATTCTTTTAAAAATTTAAAATTCTAAACTATAAACTATAACAATCATAATAATAGTGAAAACCATGAATTGTAGTTGTCACATAGAAATAATGATATCAGGATGAACATGATAAAATAGTACTGGTTTCTATATACTCTGAAGTAGACATAATGTTCTATAAACCCCTATCTTGTTGTTTGGAATAACATTTTTTCTTTGGTCTAAAAATCCCAAGTGTCAATAATATTATATTAATAACCATAAAGTTGAAGATATGATGGTGAAGGTCAGTGGGATGGACTCACTTCACCATAACTTTGAATTCTTATTATACTAGCAATAGTAATTCAGAATAATATACATAATMCTTTTAGTACTGCTATCAGGTTATAATCATGGAGTAACATCAATAATTTGTTTCTTTTTAGGTTTCTGAGAAGTATTGCATACCGTGAATTTACACAACTGGTACATGGGCGCATTGGCAAAAACAGAATACCTTTGCCTGCATGTGCCTACCATTTAATTAGGAATAGATTTAAATTAGGAGAAAGCAATGAGTTTACTGGTTTTGAAGAGGAAGTATCAGAAGATTAAACTATCATGGTTTTCTATTCTTTGGGCAATCCTTGACATTTTTATGGTTTTTCATTGGATTCTTGCAAATCCTGCATTGTGGTTGGGCCCTTGTAGTTGTATTTTCCACTGCTCTGGTACTCCCCTGTGCTCTTTCTGCTTCATTTACTGAAATATTGATAGACATTTTTGTTATGTTTAGTAATACTTCATTATCTATTACATGGATGCATGAGCAGCTTTGCTGTCAAAATAAAGAAACATTATTAAATTTTCATAACAAATAAACTGGAAAATACCACAAATATGATAGTAATCACTATAAAACAATATTCCATGACTTTGGCTATTGCATACCAAAATTTTAATATTATTATTGTTGTTTGGCTCAATTGGAAGCCTTGAACAAGTTGATTATCTTATGTAAGTATTATCTCTAATAATACTTACATAAGATAAAACAAAATTTAAAAAATGACAATGAAATATACGAGAACTAAATTAGCATCCTTAGTTTTTATGTCTGCAGAAATACTATACTGTATAACAAACTCAATCATACATGCAGTTCCAGGGACTTCCTGGACAACCATGGACTTCCTTTTCTTCCACAATGTAACAGCATCTTGTCTTGACTGCTTCTCTAGCATTGTGTGCATGGGGGCAGGGGTCACGGCATTTAACTCTTCTAAAGCACCCAACAGGTTCTTTTGACTCTGAGCTTCGATAAAGGTGTCATAAACTCTGTCGATGTAGTCTGTAGAAATGAAACAAAAGTTATTTTCAAGTCCAAAAGCAATTTGAGTATGTTTTGTCACATACCATAGTTTGGCTGTACTCTTACACTACGAACTGTCGCCTCTCCATTTCTGAATTTGGGGTAGACAATTGTAACTTTCTCTGACCCATCCTCAGATGTTTTAACCTTGCGCTGAAGGTTGTGGTTGAAGTGGGTTGCTGCAATAATGTGCCTGAAAAAAATATTTTAAAGTTAGACTGTACAAGGAGGGTGTTTCTGTGCAAAATATTGTTCTGTGAAGAAAACTTCTTAGTTTGCAATATAATGCGAAAAATTACTTCTTTGATTGGCATATATCTATCCAAACACTTTGCCTTTTCTTGGTTCAACTCATTAGTCACCAGTCAAACTACTCTTTATGTTGTGGGTATATTGGCTTTTATAATGGTAAAAATCATATAGGGAATTTTGTTACTGGGTAAAAAGTATCAGTTATTGTCACCTGCAATACATTCCCTGGTATGAGTACCCAATCATCTTGGGGCAATACTGGTTCACCACAGAGTGAAACCCTTCCAGACAGCTGGTCTGGCAGACTGGAGAGGCCTTCTTGATGCCTTTCACAAGGGAAGCTTTAGTAAGAGCAGTGCGGACCTTGTCATAAACAGGGGTGTCTGAAAAAAATGTTTAGAGCACACTGAGATTGTTCATAGTGGTAACACTATTAATACATTCAGATTTTCATAATACAAAAATGACACATACCTTCCTCTAGCCATTGGCGCTGTGGGATGTCTCCATGTGAACACCTATTGAAGATTGTCTCATCTAGATCTTTATGCTTGTTTACAATATGGGATAAGTATGACTTAAATTTTGCCCATATTAACTGTCCATTCCCTGAAGGTGTTGAAGTAGCACTCCACACAAGATGATTTTGGCATGGCTTAATCCATTGATTGAGAACTTCACATCCTTTCTCTTTACTAATTTTTGTTAGGACTTTATGTATTTCTGAAGAAAATATTATTTGTGATACAGTAATGACAACAAATTAGGAAAATCTAAAAATTTCATTTTTTTTCTTTAAAAATAAGATCTACCAGTATCTATGACTATTAGCTATATCAAAAGATCTAGTAATATCTTACTTTTTTTCAGATGCCACAGATCAAAGTAGTGGGTTATATGGCTCAGTCGTTCTCTCATATACTTGGTTATTGATATGTGTCGATCAGTTATCAGTGTTCCAATGGCAAGGCTCCATGCAGAAAGGGCACCCATACAATTTCTGAAGGCTAACATTTCCATTGCTGGGCTGCTGCCAGCAACATTTCTTTGCATTGAGTAAGGGAAGGAAAATAAATTAATGGGCGAAGTATTGTAAATACATTCAGTCACAGCCAGGGCAACTATAAATTGGCTGCTATCTTGGATTGTTTGTTTCTGTTATCAGTAATAATATTTTTTACAATATAAACAGCAACTAAATATGCTTTTATTACATACCTGCACTAAGGAAAACTCAATGATGAGTGGTATAGTACAGCAAAATATTGTGTAGGCACAATATTTGGCACTGTGGCCCATAGAATCATGACGCCCATCGCCAGCTAATACCAGAGACTGACCAGTTCCTTTGATCTTCACCATCATTTCCTCTTGATACTTTTTCCAGAAAATATGGAGTGTGGGAAAAAGTTTTCGCCAGCAACAACAAAATTAATATTATGGCATTCCAGAATGGATGTAGGGATTTCTTCTTTGCCCATTTGATGTCATGCTTTTTTGATAGTAATGTACATATCATTCATTTATTTCTTGGTATTCAAAATTAGAATTATATTGGTTGATTATTGGCAGGATGCAAAGCATAAGCAAAGGGAACAGTTGTAATTGCCACTCGCATGAAGCTCAGTATTGGTATCAGTTGGGGATAAAATATTTAGTGCATTTATAATACTCACCGCCTGATGCTTGAAGTATGTTTCTAGACTTATACAGTGGACTCCCATGTTCTTAAATACTTGGAATACTTTAGAGGGCGATGCACCAGAAATCAAAATGGAAAAGCACAACAGAAAGTTCATGGCTGGCATTTTGGTTCCTATAAATTTTAATACAATGCATGTTAAAAGCCTGGGGTGAGATTGGGACTTTTGCATGGACACTCGGGCCTTTCAAAATTGAATTTCTTGATGAATGAAAGGCTTTTTACAAACCTGTCATGTTTGGTTGGCTCCGCCATGTATTCGTGGGAGATTGACACTGAGGGTTGAAACACTGAGTTGTTATTTCAATCATTGTGCCACAAACTGACGTCTCTATTGAAGGCTTATCAGATTTGCAGGATGGACAGATGTTGAACAAAAGGAGGAGTTTTGATAAAAAGACGATAAACTTTGGTTGGTGTCTAAGATTTTCACTGTGGGAATTGGCACTGAAATGAATATATGAGCAGTTTATTAGCAAACATTATTACTGTAATGTAAATCTAACAATATGTGTTGTGCAAAGTGGAAACAAGTCAGTAGGTAACCCTGAAATTTTATGGTTACTATCAGAAAATTCTTCTTTGGTTTTTCATCATCACTCTCATCTTCTGTCTCTGTCTCTGTTTCTGTATCAGAGAACATCTTATATTCAGGTGATGACATTTCTGAAAGAGGTGGCTCCTCTTCTATGACTTCTTCCTCTTCTTCATCACTCTCTTCTACGTTTGCATAATCTTCGTTGTTAGTCGTTTCAGGTGTCTCCAAAACACTGGCCTCTGTAAAATAATTAAATAATGATAATAGTAACCTTCATTTATACAGAAGGTGTGCCATATTTTGACACACTAATCAGAAAAAATATATTTTTTGTATGTAGCCTACACTTTTGATCACTAGGGATAGGCTACACAGTCATGTTTGCAATCATAAGAATATTGTATCTCTATTAGCAGAGTATAAGCGATTATAGTAAACACTAGAAAAAGTTCGTAAATCAAAACACATACAAGTACAAACCTTCTTCACATTTTTGAAGGCGTTTTTTCCATTTATTTTCCACGTCTATCACTTTGTTGCGCAGCTGGCGTTTCTGGCTCAAACGTTTTTTGCAGCCCAGACATTCAGGTGTTTGAGTGCAGTCATCTCGTGTCTACAGGAAAAAGTGTATATTCGACAACATTGTTCTTTTCTATTCTTTTAATATAGAGAAAACCAACTTCTAAATGAGACTTACGAGTTGGAGGTTTTTCTGAGCTTGAGCAACAGGTTCTGAATCTATCGGATCGCTCAGTAACGGAACTTCTTCTACAAGGTCTACTAGCGCTTCCGATCCTGATTCGCCTCTCACTGATTCTCCTGTGGTACTCGCGGAAGGGAGAATGGGTTGGTCTTTTAATAAGTCCCTTACAACCTAAGAGATTATAAACATGAGAGCAATAAATCGAAATTTCCGATCCTGAAACACACATGATAATAATACTAACCCGGCGATGCTCACGCGAAGACCTTTTTGCATTTGTTAGAGGTTGTTGTTGTTTCTCTCCTTCCTTCGGCTTCTCTTCCAATTCCTTGTGAATTGTTGGAAATGCGTCTTTCTTTAGAACTCTCTTGTTTCCAAACGGAGTTCCGATTATATGGACAAAATGATGCTCGAATTCGTCCTCTCTGAAGTGTTCAGAACACAACCGAGAGTTTTTGGTAGGTGACCATTTGGCACGTTTTGTTCGCACGAAGCTTACCCACTGCCTTCTTCTTTTTCTATCATTTTCTTCAGGAAATTGATGTAAACCTATATTTCTTTCAGAATCTGGAAAGTTTGAACAGCCTCCTGCTACGCATCTATAAGGCATTTCGCCTTCTAATCTCTAAGAAAAAGAACTATTGCACTAACTTTTAGCAGGATTGAAGGTTTCTATCGCAAAGTTTACATGTGTTTATAAAAATTCAGCGTCACTCGACTTACTCCTGATACGTCATCAGTCCAGGACATCGTTCGACCTCTCTGCTCGGCCTAAATAAGACAGGAATCCCAAAACGGCTGTTTTCGGGCACTTTGAATGGCTCGAAAAAATTGAAAAAATAGGAATATCATAAAAAAGTTTTGAAATTCGTATTTCTAGATGGTTCAACTTTTGATCAAAAACATAAAAAAAATTGGTTTACTTGCACTTTAATGAGTTTGACTCTGCTGCTAAAGCTGAATGTCTGCCAGATGGATATAAGTTATTCGACTCTTCAAGATCTGGACAAAAAGGTGGCGGAATTGCGCTGGTCTGTCGTTCTAACATAATCGTGAAGAATATAGGCTCTTTTAACCGTCAATCTTTTGAGGTTGCCGAATGGACTTTATCGAGTGGCCAATCATCACGTCTGCGTTTATCTATCATCTATAGACCTCCTTATTCTACTGCCAACCCTGTGTCCACTGGGACATTTATCACTGAATTTTCAGATTACTTGGAGTCCTTTGTTCTTTGTACGGAACCTATATTGATTTGTGGTGATTTCAATATACACATCGATGACCCATCTGATCCTTACGCTACTGCATTATCTGACTTGCTTGAAACGATGGCCCTGGAGCAACATGTACGCACCTCTACCCAAATCCATGGCCATTGCCTTGACTTAATCATTACAAGAGTCTCTTATAACATTATCTTGGATTCACCTATATCAGGCAGTTTTCTTTCTCATCATGCAACAGTTCTTTGTGGTCTATTGCTGTGCAAAGCAAAATCTACTACTAACACAGTATTTTACAGGAAATTGAAATCAATTGATCTAGAAGCTCTCAAAGATGATCTACGTGCTTCTAAACTAATTGTACAGACACCTTCTCAGCTGGATGACTTGGTTAGCTCCTACAACAAGACATTGTCATCTTTGCTTGACAAGCATGCTCCTCTTTTAACCCGTTCTGTCGTCATACGCCCTCGTGTACCATGGCTCACTGATGAGATCCGTGCTATAAAGAGGTAACGTAGATGTGCTGAACGTAAGTGGAGAAGAACAAAACTTGATACTGACTTAGCTGCATTTAAACCTCTAAAGAACAGGACAACGTATGTTATGAACAGTGTTCGTCGTGAATTTGACACTGATTTCGTCAACGATAATTCTGATAATCAGAGGAAACTGTTTTCTGCTACAAAGAAGTTGCTGGGTCAACAATATGAGATGCAATTCCCGCTGCATAGTGATAAACAGTCTCTTGCMAATGACATGGRAGCTTACTTTRTGAAGAAAATATCTGACATCCGAGATGAGCTTGATATGACCTGTGCAGCTCAACAGACTTTGCCTCCTGTTTCTGATTCTCTCGGAATGAATGCAACTTTCTYTCAGTTTAGTGTCCTTGATATGGATGCTGTGAGAAAGCTCGTAACTAAAGCATATACGAAGTCCTGCCCTCTTGATCCTTTACCTACGTCTTTACTGAAGGACTGTTTGGAAGAACTTTTATCACCTCTGACTGAAATGCTGAATTCATCACTGCAAACTGGTGAATTCCCTGACTCATGGAAAGATGCTCTTGTGTACCCAACTTTGAAGCGGAATGGACTTGACACAGTTTTCATGAACTATCGCCCAATCAGCAACTTCCAGTTTGTATCAAAGCTTGCTGAATGAGCAGTGGCTGATTAACTGTATACTTACATGATTGAATATGGCTTGATACCTGATCTTCAACCAGCCTATCGACCAGGATACAGTACTGAAACTGCCTTACTTAAGGTTAAGAATGACCTACTAATAAACATGGATAAACAATGCGTAACCTTGTTGGTCCTACTTGACCTCAGTGCTGCCTTCGATACAGTAGACCACAACGTTCTACTTAAGCGCCTCTCATTTGATTTTGGCATATCAGGGATGGCCTTAAGCTGGTTTGAGTCATATCTGTCAAACAGAAGTCAACGTGTCACCATTKAGGGTGTTGTTTCTGATTCGTTTGATCTGGAATACGGTGTTCCACAAGGCAGCTGCCTCGGTCCTCTGCTGTTTATATTGTATTCAAGCAAGCTATAGAGAATTATTGAAAGTCATCTGCCTCAAGCCCACGCATATGCGGATGATACACAACTGTACCTGGCCTTCAAGCCTGGCGACGATACTGATGAGAGGTTGACTGTAAGTGCTATGGAAGCGTGTATTTCAGACATTAAACAATGGATGCTATCTGACAAACTGAAGCTGAATCCTGGTAAAACAGAATTCTTAGTGATCGGTACCCAACAACAGCTGGAGAAAGTGAACGTCACCAATCTACAAGTTGGAGAATCCAAGATTAACCAATCTTCTGTTGTAAAAAACCTGGGAGCCTGGTTTGACTCCCACTTGAATATGCATGAACAAATTAAGAAAACTTGTAGTTCATCGTTTTACCATCTATACAATATTAGAAGAATTAGGAAATACCTTTCACGTGGTTCTACCGAGACTTTGGTMCATGCKTTTATAKTGAGTAAACTTGATTACTGTAATAGTTTATTGTATGGGCTTCCTGATATTCATGTAAATAAGTTACAAAGRKTGCAAAAYTCTGCTGCCAGGGTTATTGTAGGGCTTCCTCGTTTTTGCCACATCACACCAGTTCTTTTTTATTTACACTGGTTACCTATTAGATATCTTATTCATTCTAAGACACGACTGTTAACATTTAAATGTTTACGTGGGCTAGCACCACAATATTTATCTGATTTGGTTTCAGTAAGTAAGGTTTCTAGGTATAACCTCCGGAATCATAAGGGCACTCTGCTAAATCCAGCTAATCCCAAATCCTAAGGAAGTCATTGTTCCTACAACATTTTGCCGCCATGAAGCCATGGAGACAGGTGAAGCATCTTGTAGCTTCTCAATGGTTGAACAAGAACAAAGTCCAACTGACAATGACTTAATGTCCATATTCTCCCAAGCTGTAAATATGTATGCAAATGAGTGTGCAGTTAAAATCCCTCTGCAATAATAGCCCAAGGTTTAATGCTAGACTCATGTTCTTGCTGCCCTGCAGGTTACTTCAATTTAGCAATGCAGTATTTCAAAGTTCAGAGGTGTTGGGTCATGAGAGCCGCCTGTTCGGGACAGAAATAAATATGTTCTAGAACTCCCATTGGAAGTTATTTTTTCTTCTGTTTTCAAATGCGATGGCTATTCCATATAAAAGTACGAAGCACCTCAAGTTGCTTCTGAATGACTGGATTGTAAACACAAGCGAACAAATGTCTGCAAAAAAGTAAATATCATATGAGTCACTATGCCTTAAAAATCTTCGAACTCATGAGTTTATTTATAAATGAAATATTTCAATATTGAATCTTCTTGCATATTGCACTATTTTGGTACGGATTATAGTGCTTTGTAATATTACTGCGATTCCCAGTGCAAACTATTAGTATTGACTTATCCCATCTTGAAGAAACTCAAATCATAGCCATAGCGATAGCTTTGCAATCAAGCGTTGAGATTCGGAGCCGGAATCCTGTGACATTTTTGAGAAAATATATTCAGATCGAGAAATTCACGGCGACAAGAAGCGTGAGACAAGAAGCATGATTTTTGCACATTTGCACGTGTTCACGTGAGTATTTACATCWGTCCTGGTGTAGAAACCAATAGAAACGATAGAAACCCTTTTCATTGATGTCCACCCAAATTCAATTTTTCGTTTGTGATGAAGGTCTAGTTGGTCGCGTGTGACTGGGAATTGCAGTAAACCAGAAATAATAAATTAATTTCATAGAGAAATGAATGATAATAATAATTAGTAATAATTATTGACAGGAATTCTTGAGTCATGGTTGTGAGATGTTGCTACATGTACATATTTGTCTCTTGTGTTCCAAAATTCTTGTGTAAACTTTTGTCTGTGATACAAGTAAAGAAGTTGATGTAGTCAAGGCTTTGGAGAAAAAAGTCATATTTGATGGCAAAACTTCACTGYTTATTGTGATAAGAAGAGGTGCATCTTTGAATAGAGCAATAAACTTTTGGCATAGAGCAACACTGAAAGTGAATCCTGTTCATGTACTCCGAGTAAAACTTATTGGAGAAGATGGAATTGACAGTGGGGCTTTGGCAAGTGAATTTTTTGCTACTGTAATTATCAATATAGGAAAAACGTTTTTCCCTGATGGGAGCCCATTGTACTCCACGAGTGCAATCCAGAATGGGAACTTTAAAGCTGTGGTTGAAATTGTGGCAGCAAGCTTGGCCCAGGGAGGGCCACCACCTTGTTTTTTAGCACCCTGTGTTTATCATACTTTAGTTTCTGATGAAGATTTGATTTTACCAATGCCAGCCAAGATCTCATAAAAACACTTGACTGAAAGTGAACTTAAAACTGTAGAACTAATAAAACAGGATGTTGTTCAAAATACAGATGTAATCCTTGAGCATGGTTACACAGGGATTATAAACAAGGCTAATGTAGAGTCCATTGAAGCTGCAGTCATTGTCAGCATACTAAGCAGAAGAGCTTTGGTGCTGAGAGAATTTAAAAGAGGGATGCAGTCATATGGTTTGGCTGACATTGTTGCAAAGCATCYCAAGGCAGCTAGAGGTCTGTTTGTTTTAGGCCAACAGGAGGCTGTAGATGGGGATTACTTGGTCTTTCTATTGAAACCTGAGTACTCCCTAGAAGGAAGCTCACGCGCCGCCTAGAAGAAGCTGTTATGGATAACTTCCAGGACTTCATTAYGGATCTGGAAGATGAATCAGTCTTTGGTTACAACGAAGCATTGGCTTGGAAAACTCACGATGATGTTGATGTTGATGAGGATAATTTACACGATGCTGATGATGATAACAGGTTTTACAAGCCAGACATGACACCAGCATCTATGATGGGGTGGCTAACAGGGCAACAGCACAGAGATCTAACCAAAAAATTGCCAATCCAAGTTAAATTTGATCATGATTGTATGGAAAGGAACCCAAATCACAGGGTTTGCTTCCCATATGTCGGAGCATGTGGGCGGGAGATAACATTTCCAGTAACTCACATGTCAGAAGCACATAAATTTAAAGATAATATTCTCATAGCTTTTTGTAAAGGACAGGCCTTTTCGATGGCTTAAATTCAACATGAATGGGTACTTCTGGTATGGAGTGCTTACTCTATGTCCATGCAATAAGACATAATAAGACCAAAGTTGTAAGTGGCTTAGCAGTAGTTATTACATATTTTAGTAAATATTAGTGTACGCTATCACTTTGACAGAACATCCATTACACAAACACATACGCACAACAGACGACCTTATTGTTTGTGTAATGAATGTTCTAGTTGAGTGATAATGACTAATATTGCTAGTTGATAAATGTTAGGCAATAATAGTGAACTTGGATCTTATTTCATGGATATAGTGTTGGCACCCAAGACACGGCTTAAAAACCGCTGATTGGCTAATTTAAATTTCAGCTGAGGGTGCGCTTTATGGTTTTCCGCTGAATTTATCGCAGGCGCCCGGGTCAAAATGGCGGACGAGGCAGAGCTTCTAGTCGGGCATGTTTTCTTCCAAAAATCGCCTTTTTTCCCCATACCTCGATTATATGCCGTAGCTGATCAAGAAAATGAGACAGATGAGTACTATGATGTTCGGAAGATGGTGAATTGTCAGGTTTTCAGTCTGATTCGGACAAAAACAAGTCATCGAGTGCGTGTCACTTGGATAAAAAGACAGAGAAAGAATGTAATTATTGTTGTCTTTTTCCAAGTTTATTTCAAGTTTCTGAACTTAAAAAGCTCATTGATTCTCAAGATAATCAAGTAAATATAGTCATGTAATAATAAAAACTATAGATGAACATGCTTTACCCCGRCCATGATGTAAAATATGTTTCGACAGTGGTGCTATATAAATTCTGATACTTGCAAATTTGGATAACGTGATGTGAAACCCTAAATAATTCTTCCTTTAAGAATTTATGAGAGCGCAGGGACTATTGACATATATTCCTAATACTTATAATTTATTTCCTTGAAGAAAAAAAAACACATCAAAATAACAAGCAAGCAAACAAAAATTAAAAACAAACGCAAACAACGACAACAACCTTTACAACCAGTTTCATGAATTCCAAGATATTTTTGAATTAAAAGCAGACTGATCTTGATTTTTTAGTAGGCTAATTTCAACAATTATATTTTTTTATCATTAACAAGGAATCAATTTATGGTACAATTTTATATCTGTGTCTACAAGAGATTCCCACCAGTTATATCAGTTACTGTAATGTCATTTCAATATTTTTATTTCAATGGAAAAAAACAAACATATTATTACAGTATTTGTCTATAATAAATGTAAATTCCTTTGATTTACTAAAATGCTGTCACTGTAAAGTGCTAGTAGGGAGGTTATGTGTAACTGTTGGCTGTTTTTCCTCTCTAGCTAGTATTTTGAGATTTAAAAAAAGGATAAAACCAAAATCAAAGTTTGTCATTTCAACAATGTCAAAAAAAGATTTTCCCCTCAAATTTATCTTCTGTACTTGTCAAGGCTCTGAGTTGCATCCCAAACCTGCCATAATAATGTACTCCTCTAGATCTAAACACTTCCTATATATTAAAAATAGAGAAGTCTTTAACTTTCATTATTTTTGTATTAAATTTTGTTTTATTGTGACAGATAGTAGAAAGAGTTTGCCATRTGCATYGTGCTTTTTTGTGCCAAAGTTAAGAACCAAATAAGATAGATTTTCCATCTATCAATTTTACAAAAAATGTTTAAATATATATTCAAGGACTGTACTGTACTGTAGAGATGAAGGCCTTAGGAATTTATTTTTTTTGACCTTGGCTACGCAATTCATGTTTTTCATGAAAATTCATACTTGGAATAATCCATTATATTATTTTATGGTAGCAGATATTCATCCTTCACATTGCTTCATAAGTATACCCCATGTTTTAATTTTAGAATTTCATTGTTTTTATACACAAATTCAGTAGATGAGATGGTTGTTAGTGTTTCAAGACGTGTTCGTGTTGGTGGGGAAA